ACGACTCAACCATGGTATGACCATTGCAAACTATGGTTGGGCCATGAACCATGGTTGGGTTTTCGCAGGGGCAGACAGGGAAATAAAGCTGAGAAGGGGAAAGGATATCCTGAAAAAGGTTAAGTTCTGTCGGAAACGTTAATATTGGAAGCTTCATGCATGACCTTAGCAATATTGAGCTTAAAAGACTTGGAAATTCTGCTCCTATCTCTGCAGCTAAAGTATCGGAGCTAGGCCTACTTGGTTAAAAGTTCTATGTTGAGCCGAGAACAAACTTTTTTCTTTGGAGGTGAATTATTATTGAAGCAAACGTTTTTGAAACATTGTTATTTATGCTTTATTCTTGTTAACGTTCAGTTTCTTTATTCTTTGTTATTTAATAACAATATGATTGCCAAAAACTCTGTTTTTATCGCATAAGATGTATATATTATCAGTGTCAGTTAGCATTGTCAATTCTTTCCCAATACAACACAAAGTATAGAAAAAATATTATTTGTTTGATCAAATTGACTCGAATCATGACGATGTAAATTTAAAAATAATAGACAGAGTATTTAATAAATATTTTATGAGTTTACAGACACAAGTATTTAATACACATAGAAAATCTGGTTTCAAAAATTCTGTTGAGGTTCCAGGGAAAATAGCTAGCCTCACTTTCTCTATAAATGTTTTTAACTTCAATTTCGATTTGTTTCAAACATCGCATTAGAGCATGCTGGGTTTCTAATTTTGTGTGCTATATTTCAAATTATATGTTGTGTTATGTTATGTTGTGTTTTGTTGTGTTATGTTATGTTATGTTATGTTATGTATGTTATGTTATGCTATGTTATGCTATTGTATGTTATGTCATGTTATGTTATGTTATGTTATGTTATGTTATGTTATGTTATGTTATGTTATGTTATGTTATGTTATGTTATGTTATGTTATGTTATGTTATGTTATGTTATGTTATGTTTGTTATGTTATGTTATGTTATGTTATGTTATGTTATGTTATGTTATGTTATGTTATGTTATGTTATGTTATGTTATGTTATGTTATGTTATGTTATGTTATGTTATGTTATGTTATGTATGTCATGTTCTGTTGTGTTATGTTATGTTATGTTATGTTATGTTATGTTATGTTATGTTATGTTATGTTATGTTATGTATGTTATGTTATGTTATGAAGCAGCAGACACAAATGTATCAGAGATCTTTTAATTTGGGAAAGCTGTTGCTATTAGACTTAAAACTAAAAACATAACATTACAGTCCGATGAATGTTTATTTTTTCAGGAGTAAATGTTAAGCAGTGCTTTTATTTCTATAACTTGGCATAGCTATCACCTGATTGGCAAAGATGTGTTATTTTAGTATTATTGAATTGCTATTTATTGTTATGAAATTAGCTTATCTTGTCCTCTTTGGATGCCCTTGGTTGCTTTTGAGATATTTTGGAGAAAATGCCTTTAAAAAGACAAATAAACATAAGGGAAATAGAATTTGTGTATCTGAATGACTCCCAAATAAATATTCGAAAAATAATTTATTCTTTGATGTGTGTATCTATTATCTGTCAATCTGCAATGTCATCTGTTGATATAATCTGTAATGTTAACTGTCTGTATAATCTTTATCTAAGGAAGTACTGGGCACGAAAAAATATCAATAACTTAGAGCATTTTATAGCAGAGCTTTATCTGTATGCAACCTTCAGAGCATTCTTTCACAATTTTGTTTCTTTGCTGGCAACAGACCAGACCCATAGGCTTATCGATAGGCTTATCGATGTCAAACATTTGAGGTGCTTAACATAGCAACATCAAATAACTTACACCCTTTCTGCAAAGCTTGATCAGTTAACAATTTTCAGGTGAAGAGATAGTCTTCTTCATATTCTAGTTGATTCTAGCTGATGTGACAGAGATACCTAAACACCATGTATCTAGAGGTTATTGGCATGACTGAAAAAAGATATCAGAAGTCTATATAAAATTCTATTTCAATAGAATGTTTTATAGACTTCTGACATCTTTGTTCAGTTTTTCATGGTGACAATGTTTTAAAAGTCTCAGTAGTGCAAAGACTAGTTTTTAAGATTCAAATGCAAATGCAAAGTCTAACTGTTGTAGCTTTAGGGTAAGAAGAAGCCAAATTCAAGCCTTCTCACTTTTACCTACATACTCCTAAAGAGAGTTAACTGAACCATATAATATCAAAACAGAAAATGAATTGAAATGCTGTTTCAAATTATTCTGATAGTGGTTTTTTGGACAAGTTGAACTTGTTGGACCAGCTCAGTAGTAGGATCTTTTTAACAATGCCTGGGAACCAGATGCAAATTTTGGAGTTCCTTCCAAATTTAGGAAAAAAGGAAGTTTTTCATTCTCTTGGCTTAATAGTTATCCATGGTTTCAATATTCTAAAGCTTAATATTATGCAATTTGCCTGCCTTTGGAAATTTTTTGTCTAAGAATCGGTGTAAATTCATCCAGAGACAAGCTGGTGAATTTTTTTGACAGAAGTTTCCTGTGCAGTAGCAAGATATAGAATCAATGCAGATTTGATATCAACCAAACCCTATTATTAACCAAGCTAACCTTTGTAACTGTAAAAGAAGTAGGCAGCGAAGAGTTATAATTGGCAGTGAAGAATTACTTAAGAGAATGTTGTTTTATAGTTTCCTTGAATAACATAAAATCTTCACATGCAAGCAACACCTCTATTTAACCACTTTACATTGCGCATGCGCAAATAGTTTTTCCCCACGCCCCTTTTTGACCATTTACTTTTGGACCACACCCTTTTGCGGCAGTCAAATTTTAAACATGACAATATAATGTATGGTAAGGATTCAAACGTATTACTTTTGTTCGCAGCTCACTTAAAATGACCTTTCGTCTCTCGGCGTCGTAAACTACTTTGGTCTGCCAACCCTTTTTCGCGAAAAGCTGCACCAATTGAGCAGCCTAGAATTGATGCAATTTCACGATAACTATTCGAGTTGTTTTCGCAGAAAGCAATTTGCAAGCACCTCCTGTAACTCAATTCTTAATTTTTAAAACTCCCATCTTTACGTCTCAAGGTCAAAAAAGTTTAATTTTCTGGCGTACATAGAAGGCATCAAAATATCACCAATAAAGTTTCACGGAAATAGCTGCCGTACTTGTTTAATGACAAAAGATTTTTATTATTGTTTGTGTGTGCGAGGACAATACCAGCGAAAGAATGTACCTGAAATTGAGGGGCGTCGACAAAGGGGGCTATAGGAGGCGCTGTACTCCCCAACACTTTGTCCGTCGGCACGTAAAGGGTTTTTGCCGGGCAAAAGAAGTCATTTTTTTCTTATCATCAGGAAGAAAATAACTCCATTGGTAACATTCTAAATAAGCAAGTGGCACTGATTGGTCAACCTCAACAGTCGTGTGCCCGCGTTTATGATTGGCCTATTTTGATCCACAACTGGGTATATATATTTCCTAGCGTAGGGTTTTCGATCTATGTTCTGACGTTTTAAACTCTGAAGAGTGTCAGACGAAAAGCTTTAGTTTACTAAATGTTTGCTTTTTTTAAAGCCATTATGAATTTTTAAGTAGAAACATATCTAAGCAACACAAAAGATTGTTCATCTTATGACCACAGCCTTAAGGAGTGGGACACGCCCTCGCCCAATGCTGACAGTCAGAGAATATTTTGACGTTACGGGACAACCGTAAAAACATGAATCGCTGACGACCTTAATAGCGGAAAAATCGTTTGAACAGAAGATACAAGATGGATCATATTGGATTTTGTTTCTTTGTTCAAATTCTTGTCAAAGGACCACTTTGTCTCAACGATTCATTCATTTACAACCAAATATTACCAAAGAGGAGGGCAATTATACCCGAACCCCCCCTGCACAATTTCACCCCCTGGCGCCGCCACACATTTGAATGACTCAATTTTTCGATTGTTCCTCCTCTAATCCATTGAATTTTATTCTCTTTAAATAATTTTCAAATTTTATAACAGGACAACGGGTCAAGCCTGGAACGATCCATAAATTAACCAGGAAAAAAAGTATGAGGTTTAGATTAAACTCGCATCTTTTTTGCTCCCAGTCGGTAGAGTATGGCAAATTCACAAATGACAAGGTTTGCGCGTCAGGCCAGGGTCATAGCTATTATGAGGGGGGCGAAGGGTGTGATGCCCCGAGGATTTTTTGCCACCAAGGAGTTCTTTTCGGCAAATTTCCCCCTTGCGGTTCCCTACTTTAAAGCACCTACAATCACTGCCAAAATTACTTTGAACACCAACACTTTGCGCTGTGCTTTTCTATTTTTCATTTGTTTTCTTGAATACTACCACTTCCGCCACCCTTTCCCCCCTAAACAATGTTGAAAGTATAGAGAAATATCAAACGTCCGCAAGAAAAAGCGTACTCCATAACCCCTTTCTTTTTTCTATAGTAAATCAACATTGTTCCTAGGGGGAGAGGGGGATGGCTGAATTTTCCTTTGAAAACCTACGTTAGTGTTCCAAGACTTTTGGCAGTGATTGTAGCTACGACGCTTACGTCAGGTATGCGACTGAAATGACCAAGAGCTTCCATGCTCCACTGTTTCTGGCCACAGGAATGTATTATCCCATCTGAGGCACATAATGTAAAATTTAAGCGTATTTCTGAGGGAATTACCTGCTCGGCATAGCAGCCCCTGCGTTGAATTTGTTAAAAAATGAAGAATGCGTGTATCTCTGCCTGTAAGTTTATAGTACAAAGCTCGCGCCAAACAACCAGAAGGCCTAGATAATACACGTGCGCAAAGCTTGGTTGTTTGATTCTTCAAGTAATTACGTTTCATACCAAATTTGACTTGAGTAGATGGTTCATACCGACTGATAAAAGATTGAGTAGATTGAGTAGTTAGCTTTGATTCATACCTAATAGTGAATAGGGTGCTCGAAATTTTAGGGTTCCGATATCCCGGGTTTGAGGCCTAATATCAGTGCAGCTAGAAAGTTACTGCAACTTGATCTCCACGCGGCTCGAATAACTTTATCTACGCAGCAAATGAGTTGGACCGTACATGGACTTAGTACAATCAGAAGATATGAAAGAAAGAAATATAAGAAAATTCAGTACCTTCTCAGATTAGCGAAAATATTGTCTTCAAGTTCTTTTGAAATCGACCTTCTGGAAGCTTGTCTGCAAAGCGACTTTACTCACCCATTCATGAACAAAAGAGACTTCTAGATTTCTCAGAAAACAATTTTCAATCAACGGGTCGAGCCTCTTTTCCGTGCCAGCCGCTTTTGGGCAATGATATAGAAGCGCCGAGCGCCGAAGGGCTAGATGTCTAACTCACAGGCCCACTGTGAGGCAAATTTGTTTACTTCCGCCATTTTGAATAGTGGCAAAAAGGAACTTGCTCCATACCGAGCCCTTATAAATTTGGTAAAAGTAAGGATTGATTTCGTTCACTTCTCTTTCGAAAATCGATGTGAAACTTGGTGACTGGCCTTATATTGCACTTAAATTTATGAATTGATATTAATATTGGAAAAATAAGCCGTCGTTCGTAAATTCCAAGCATTTACAGTCGCGGTGCTTGCTGTGGTGTTTTCTGTCTCGTCGAAATTCCAGAAAATAATGATTGATCTGTTTTAAAACGGATCCAGCAACAATGTTTAGCCACTCAATGCATAAGTTTCTTAACACATTTGTACAAAGGTGTGATTTAGTTACTTTTTCTTTGTTTGTTTACAGAAACTGCTATGAAATATCTTGGCCAAACTCTAGAAAAAGCCGAAAATAGGTCATAATTAAATGCTTGGATATTAATAACAGAATCTAAATATGATAACCAATTTTTGATTTTATATAATCATTGATATATTTAAACTAATTCAAAACCACACTCAGGGGGTGGTCTGGCGTCAAAATCGCAGGGTGGCTAGAAAACTCAAGGGCCCGGTTTAGGGCATGACGGAGAAATTGAGCCACACCCACTAAAAATGTGGATTAGAATACGATTGATTCAATAAAAATTTATAATAAAGCAATACGCTAAACAGCAGCAGCATATCGACTTTAATTCGTAATTTCGGACCCAATTGGATCCATACCTTTCCTCTCGTGTAAACAGGCTTTAAAATCCCATGTAGAGTTAAGAATCAAGATCAAAACTTTTTTAAATTCTCAGACCAGCGCAAATTAGTTTCTTCACTTATGACTAATGCGAATTATTTCAAATGCCTGATATCGAATAGCTGAGAGGGTTCTCACTTTGGAAGCATTAACTGAGTACAATCCTATGTTTTTTCCATTCAGAATGGTTGTATCTGGATAAGATTATCGATGCGTTGGCAGTTGGGTATGAGAACGTTCACATATTATCTAATCAAAGATGGAGGGAGGGGGCTCACACAAATGTTTACGGTCATAATGATCAATAAATGATGCAAATTAGATGATAATTTAAGAGGGAGAGGATTTTTTCAATGTTGCCTATATTTTGTTATGTAATTTGTGCATGTTCCTTTCTTGAATGATAATGCTCTTTCCAGGGCCTATTTTAGTGTGCAGTATTACACACTTTGTTCAGTATAAATTTAAAAACGTACAGTATTGATTTTTAAAATGTGCAGTATTGATTTGATGCTATCCCAGATTCCTTCATTGTTCACAAAATGTGAATTTTCCCCGTCAGTTGGATATAGAGGCCATGTATTGTAAATCTCGCATGACCATCGGAAAGACTATCTTATCAAAACTTATGTTGGGGCCCAGACCCTCTTTGGTATCTTAAGACCCCACACAGTTATTGTTATTACATTCGGTATTGTAATACGTACCGAGATACACGGCAGCATGTAGAGTTTTAATTATAATGTTGATTTAATATTTGATTTAAAGCAGTGGTAAACAACATGTTTTGATTCTCAATACCTAATAAGGACAAACGTATGGAAAATATCAATCGACAAGTCTCAGTCAACGTGATAATGTATGTTGTAACTCGAAATAAGTTAGTGAGTCGGTTGGAGTAGAGTTGAAGTAAGGATTGTGATCGGCGGAAATGTGAAATAAAATACTGATGGATTTGATACAAAATAGTTACACAAAATGGTGATTGTTATATTCTCTTAATTCCGTAGGCCAATTCATATAGAAAACACTTCGTTTACTTTCATATTCGAATCCAAAACACAACTAACTCAAATTCCATAACACCCTTATTAATATAACAAAACATAACAAAACAATTGTTGCACAGGGCAACCAAAGCAAGATTCAGCACATTACTCATAATAATAATAATGAAGGTTCACTATCACTTTATGACATCACTTCCCCTTTTTGAACTGTTGTTCTCCTTATAAGTTCTGACGGTATTGGATAACCGTATCTGTCTGGGACTCTTCGAAGACGTTGATTTCTTTGATTGTTCTGGGTTTGGTTCTCTCGATCTGGCTCTGCATGATGAACATTGCTCCGATCTTGTGTTCTCTTGTAGCTATCATTGTCATAGTCGTTGTCTACATCTGGCCTGTATTGTCTTGCTACACATCTTTTGAAATGCGAAACATTTCTCGAAATCTGATGCTTGTTGGCGTTTTCTGCTGTCACTTTGGTACCTTTGCGTGAAATTACCACGTATGGCACATTGTTGAATCTTGAGGAGAACTTGTTCTTTCTATCTTGTTTTACCAGCACATGATCGCCTACTTTGATTTCACTTTCTCTGGCCTGGCGTCGTCTGTCTGTGTATTCTTTCTGGTGTATCTGACCTTGACGTTCGTTTGCCATTGCTTCTCTATGCCTGTTAGTAACATTCTTTCTTTGAATGACTGGCAATTTACCCTTCACTTGTCGATTAAATAACAACTCACATGGTGGTATCTTGGTCACGGAATGTGGTGTTATGCGGTATTGCATCAAGAACCTTTGAATTTCTTGTTTCCATGGTTTTCCTTCCACGATTGCTGCTTGAATAACTTTGCCTAGCGGCTGGTTGAAGCGTTCGACCTCTCCGTTTGCTTGTGGCCATTTTGGAGTACTTCGGTCATGTTTTATTCCCAATATGTGTAAATAACGCTTGAATTCATCTCCATTGAAAGGAGGGCCATTATCCGTCTGTATCTTGTCGGGAATTCCATGCACAGCAAAAATACGATCTAGTTTAGGTATAAGTGTTGAAGCTTTTGTAGAGGAAACAACTTCTACTTCTGGAAAACGCGAGTAACGATCAATAATGACTACAAGATAGTCACCTGTTGGCAGTGGCCCATAATAGTCTATGTGTAGTTTCTCCCATGGTTTTGTTGGTAATTCACTCAATTGCAATGACTCTGGTCTGTTTTCTTTACCTGTTGCTTGACAAGCAAGGCAAGAATCAATCGTTGCTTTAACTAATTCATCTATTTTTGGGAACCACACTTTCTCTCTGATCATAGCTTTTGTTTTGGACAGCCCCTGATGACTTTCATGCGCGATGTCAATTGCCTTTTGGCGTAAAGATAGAGGAATGACTTTTCTTGAGCCTCTAAGAATAATATTCTGAGCACCGATCGAAAGTTCTTCTTTGATTGCTCGGTATGACAAATCGACCGATTCCCACACACCTGAGCGAATAGCGGCGCGAAGTTTCTGGAGTTCTTTGTCGCTATTGGTTTCTTTACCAATCTCATGCAGACTCATTGTCTTAGGAACTGCATTAGAAGTTACGAAATTAATGTACTCCTCAGTGAACTCTGTTTCTTTTGATGTTTTAGCAGATGGATGGCGAGATAGGTAGTCCGCAGCGTTCTCTTTGCCAGGTTTATATTTAATTGTAAACTGATATGGCTGCAAGCGTAAAACCCATCTTTCTATCCTGGCTGATGTCTTAGAGCTTGGCGATCCGTATATAATCTCTAGGGGCTTATGGTCTGTGACAAGTGCCAGAGCCACCCTTAATCATTTCCCCTTGCACAAAATCAAAATAAGCATTCAAGCCAATCAACATATCAACTTGAAACTGACTTACGTCGAAACAGTCGGCTAATTGCAAACCATTCAAATGGGGGTAGTTGCTTATGTTAAGACGCGTGCTGAGAGGAGTACAAATAACTGAATGACTAAGCGCACTGACTGCGATAACTTCGTCACCTGGTGTTTCTACATTAACAATAACTTTGTTAAACTTTGTTTTACGATACTTGTCTGACCCAAAGGTGACGTGAACCGTCAGCCTTCAGACCGAGTTTCTTCGCTAATGCCTCTGTTACATAGCTTCGCTGCGAGCCACTGTCGAATAGGATATTCACCAAGACACGATTTGTCTTGTCTTCACCATAAACATAGGCTTTTGCCGTCTGCATCAATACACTGGGATCGGAATTCGCTAAAGCCATCACAGTTGCTACCTCTTGTTTGCTTCAGACACGAACTCGTTCCCTCTGACGTCACCTTTCTGGTTCTTGTAGCATAGTACCTGGTGATGTGTCTCCCATTGCAGATTTTGCATTTCCGATCGCTGCGACAAACATCCCTTGTGTGACCAATTTTTAAACAGCGAAAACATCTCCTCGCGCCTCTCAGGAGTTCTTGTCTTTCTTGAACACTTGCTACTTTGTTACAGTTAACTGCAGAATGATCTTCTTTGCAGAAAAGACATGCCATTTTCCACTGCTGTGGCTTTGTGCCTAGCCCCTTGTCCTTTGCAACGAAAGATCTCGTCGTTCCTTGTTGTGACTTGAAACGTACTTGCTGGACTCTTGTTGTACTGGTTTCTCTTGGCGAATTTGAAATCTTTGCACTTATTTCAAGGGCTTCCAGTTCCGTTCGAATTGTTTCTAAGATGTCTTTGATATCCCATGTATCCTCTGCAGTTTTCTGAGCCACTTGTAGAGTTATCGCCGTAGGCATAAGCGACATGATAACTGGAATCAGCAAGTTCCCATAACTCTCTGCAGATGTTCCTAACGATTCCAACCCACGTACATGTACATTTATGGTGTCATAAATTTCCTCAGCTGTTCAACATTTTCATTGGGACAATCCTGCAACTTCAAGAGCGATTGCATATGTGCATTAATTATTGCTTGTCGCTTACCGAATCGTGAAATGTCAACTGCATGATTATAGTTTTCTTCTTGCAAGTTCAATCCTTCGACTGCTCGATATGCTAGGCCTTCCAGTAGGCTAAACAAATAATTCAGCTTGTTGATAGTGGGTATTGAGCCATTATTGTGCACCGCACACTCGAAACTTTGCCAAAACGAACTAAATCTAGTGACATCACCGTTGAAACGTGGTAGGTTTATTTTTGGCAACTTCACTCCTGCGCCTACATTCGACTCCTCTGACCTCCGATTCAGATTTTGCGCTGGCAATGACAGAATATTCTCATGTTGACTTCTTTCCTCGCTTTGAGAAAACGCTTGAATGCTGGAGCGTCTGCTGCTAGCCGGAGAAGGGCCATAACTCCCTCTCTTAAATTCATCAATTTTCGCAATCACTTCGTTTATCTTGGTTTCCCAATCTGAAGCTTCCTCGATTTCCTTTTCGATCTCCTCCATGGAGCAACTAATCAAAATTTTGTCGTCCAAGTCCTTGAGGTATTTCTGTTTCTCCTTCAGAGAAATTTCAATGGATTTAAATCTTGCTGTAATGTTTGCTACCTCTGCTGGCGAAGCGAATTCTCTAATCGATGTGGTGACTTCCCTTTCTAGTTTTGTCACCACGGCACGGTTCCCTCTCCGCAAGACCTTCAGTCTTACTATCTCGACTGACTCGACTCTAACTCGAACTCACTAACTACGCAAGTGCCGTAACCGTTACTATGACTACTTCACAACACCAAGTAATATTTCTGTAGTGCGAACACAAAGTTACCTAGCCAAGGTTGATCTGGGATGACTCGGCCCGGGCTGACTCGGCCCGGGCTGACTCGGCCCGAGTACTGGTTTCTATAAAAAATTAGTGAATACAACATGCACCTAGCAGCATACCCTTCCCTCTACAACGCGTATAAATGCTTGATGACACTTAGCTGCACCCAAATTTCCTTTGAAAGATTATTCAGCGCTACTGATAATTTCAAAAGAAGATAAAACTTTCCACTTGATTACGAGCAAGTCATTGGCCAATTTGCTGATTCATTTGCACTTCTTTGAAAAGAGTTGAAACTCTGAGAATTTAAATAAGTTTTGATCTTGATTCTTAACTCTACATGGGATTTTAAAGCCTGTTTCAGGAAAGGAAAGGTATGGATCCAATTGGGTCCGAATTTACGAATTAAAGTCGATATACTGCTGTTGTTTAGCGTATTGCTTTATTATCAATTTTTATTGAATCAATGGTATTTTAAGCCACACTTGTAGTGGGTGTGGCTCAATTTTTCCCGCCAACCCCTAAGCCGGGCCTTTGGGTTTTCTAGCCACCCTAAAATTTTGACGCCAGACCAACCCTGAGTGTGGTTTTGAAATAGTTTAAAAATATCAATGATTATATAAAATCAAAAATTGGTTAAAATTGTTAAAAATTAATATTTAGATTCTGTTACTAATATCCAAGCATTGAATTATGACCTATTTTCGGCTTTTTCTAGAGTTTGGCCTAGATATTTCATAGCAGTTTCTGTAAACAAACAAAGAAAAAGTAACTAAATCACATCTTTGTCAAATGTGTTAAGAAATTTATGCATTGAGTGGCTAAACATTGTTGCTAATTTTGAAAATCTTCACAACAAGGGTTTCAGATGACCCAGCTTTTGTGAGGTCGCTTAGGAGCTGATTTCATGAAGAGGGGTGGCCCTCCCCTTCTCCTGGGGTACTTTTTGCCGAGACCTCGGTATTGATAAGAAACATATTCAGATTTGAGATTTCGCTTACATGTAGAGGACCAGGGCCTATTTAATACTGCACATTTATAATAACATTTTTTATAGGAAATCTTGTTGTTTTAAGCTTTGATAAGAGAGTCTTTCCGATGGTTATACGATAATTACAATACATGAACTCTATATCCAAGTGACGAGGAAAATTCATATTTTGTGAACATAGCAGGAATCTGGGATAGCCGCAAAAAGACATTTTCACAAATCCCAAAAATCAATACTGCACATTTTCGAAATCAATACTGCACGTTTCTAGTTTGCAAGAATTTTTTGACGCTTCATAGTGCGATGAAATAAAAAAAGGATAAACTATGCCGCAAATATTTCACGTTTTACGGAAAAAGTGTTCCGGCACCGGGGCAGCACCGGGGTAGCACCGGGGCAGCACTGGGGCAGCACCGGGGTAGCATCAGGGTAGCATCAGGGCAGCACCGGGGTAGCATCAGGGTAGCACCGGAGTAGCATCAGGGTAGCACCGGGGCATCATCGGGGTAGCACCGGGCAGCTTTTAGCGTACTGCGTGGTATTCATATTTGATGCTTTTAGCGTACTGCGTGGTGGGACATTTGTCCCATAGACAAGGCCTTCGCCTAAAACCAGGGTTCGTCACAGGCTACACGAAGATACCCGATTTGTTTCAGCAGCAAACTTTGACACCCCCAGGGTGCCCTTTCTGTTGTTCTTGCCCCCGCCGTATCATGAAGCTTTCGGCGCATCTGCTTGAGTGGGCCAAGAAAAGCGGGTCACACGATACAAATATCCGGTCACAGCCGCCTAGTAAAAGCCTACCCTTGTAAATGATAGTCTAGGACAGCAGATCTTGTTCCACCGAGAAAATGACTACCAAAGAGGAAAAATTCGAGAGATTTGAGAAAGGATAGCCAAGTCCTCTTATATTTTACTCTATTGCAGATTAAACAAGAAACTGTGTAGGTTGTGAGCCCAAGTTGAGACCCTAGACCATCTGTAGAAATAAAAAACTTAAACATGTCCAAAAAGGAAAATTTATTCAACTTTACACCTAGGTAATGAATAAGGACAGCCGGCGTAATGATCGCACAGGAACCTTGGTATATACCTGGCCTATCCTTAGCATACTTACGGGGTGAGGTATACAGGAAATGCACCGTGGCTTAAAGTTTCAGTTAAGAAAAAAAGGAAAAAATTGGTAAAAACCAACTATTGACCTACCATTCCAGATTTATAATGGAGCCTTGGCACGAATAGTGAAAATCATTCTTGCCCTGTAATACAGATGTGGAACTGATTAATTTTTATTAAGAAGGACCCAAAAACTCATTTCTTCTTTGGGGGCTTTACCCTTTTATTACTATGGAAATCGTCCCTCATATTTAGGTACACTTTCTTGTTTCTGGGTCATTTTCGACGACGGTTTGAGAATTTCCGACGCAGTTTAGTAGACTTAAAAAACAACATCGAAATTTTTCGTTGTTCTCAAACTCAAGGAAGCCATGTTGTTTGGATCTATCAGGGGGTTTCTTTGTTGGAGAACTGAAGCATCTTGTGGTAACGTATTGAGTGCAATTCAATACATATCCTATGCAATTTCAATTATTGTCCATTATTATGGAACTTAAGTGACAATAAAGCCACTTAAGCTAGAGAATGTTAGCAAGAGTGCATCTAGCCTACTCGGAATGTTCATCTTCATACAAAGTATTACTAGCTTATTCCACAGAAACTACCATATATATCCAATCAGTTATGATTTTGGTACATGAAGTCTATAACTAGGCTTATTCTATTTTGATAGAGGGCTATTTTGTAACAAATTTAACAGAACCCTTTTGACACTCCTAAAGTCAGAATTATCAATAATGGGGCCAATGTGTCAACGATGTTGTTGAATTTTCTTTCCACAAACTAGAGCTACCAACGAATGCCAACGAAACAAAAAAACAGATTCATTTTATTGGCAGCTTCTTGCATATGAAAAAGAATCATATATGAAAATTTACGAGTAAGGCCAACAAAAAAGGGCAACATCTAATGCTCTATTTCGGAATACTAAAATCAACAATAAAATCATTTATCACAACATATATCACATACGTATAAAAATCTCTATAGCTCTTCTTTTTAAAACAAATAAAAATAAATTTCTCCGTTTAAAAATACCTCATGTACAATCAATTACAGATATGTGATAAAAAAATGTATACTTGATATAAGCCTGTAATAGGATGTGATATAAGCCTGTAATAATATAAGCCTGCAATTCATTCTTCATCGGATATTAATGTAACATGTCCCTCCTCCCATTCAATGCATTCGTTTGTTTTTCTAACTGTACGAACACTGGATTTTATCAATTATGCAAGATTCCATTTTATTTCCGATATAATAACCGATACCTTTAACTTCTCCAATGCAAT